TGAGAGGTGAGATGCGCTGTGAGGAACAGTCACGGCGGTCTGACCCAGAAAATGTGAGTTCCTCTATACCAATCACCAGAAACCGCATTCATTGTATGGCTTGTTTTTTTATTGTGACAAGCGTCTGCAAATATGCCAGGGGAAAACACCCTGATGGAGATTATAGATAAAGGGCTAACAGGAGTGGGCTTTCAAGAGCCAGCTGAGGCCATTGAGTGATTCCCATTAGTTGTTGTGGAGACAGTAGCAAAACTTTTTATGTACTGGTTGCCTTACGGGCAAGGAAAATCATAGTGTTGATTTTGAACTAATATGTTATAACATAGTTTTAACTCTTGAAGGTCGTTAGACATGGTGGTGGCTAAAGATGAAGACAGCTTTTGTAGATTTGAGAAAAGTCTGGATAACAAGGTGAATGGTCAAAGGTTATTGTAATTAATTTAATATTACATTATGTCTAAGTTACAGCCTTAGAAGGCTGTTGAAAAAGATTATTTATTTATAGTGAGAGAGACTGCCTGAGTTGGAGGAAGGGATGGTAACTGTGTCTGTCTTTCTGTTATCTGCCTGCTAGAGCAAGCTGAAGCAAAATAATGATAATGAAACAAAACAACCCAGCTGACTTGTCTAAAAATTCAAATGAATAATGAACAGACGTAAAATTAGGTAGAAGCTACCGGAAAATGGGAAGTTTAAAATCTTATTTAAAATTTAAATCTTTTAGCAATAATATAAAGAAAAGTGAACATTGAGAATGAGCAGTTAACATATGTGTGTCTAGTACGAGTGTGTGTGTGATGGTGACAGCACTTTATGTCTTGTATGTATTAGTTTGGGGCACTAATATTCCACCTGAATGGTGTGTATATTGCGTCATTAACCTCTGGAATGAGTTTATCATTACAGATGGGGTAAGGCAAATGACAAATTTTAAAGAAGCTGATAATTCTGATGAAAAGACAATACAGAACATGGGACAAGCTTTAAGTTGATTGGCCATCAAGCTCTGTCTGGTAGTAATAATTTTGTCATACATAATGTAGATTTGAAGATCAGTAAATTGGAATTGTGTAGTTGTAGATCACCATCTGGCATGGGCTGAGATAAATGAAAATGTTGTAGATTTGAGGGAAACAACAAAGTGACATATTGGCTAAGTCAACATGAAATTATCAAGAGAGCTTCTCACATTTATGATTATTGTGAACAAAGGGGGAGAAATGATTGACTGACATTGACCAAGTCTGTACAGCACGACCTGACCTGATAGGGAAAATTGATGACTTTGGAAATGTTTGTAGATGACTGACTTGAGAGACCAAACAACATGCCTGAAAAGCAAGATACGCTGTGAGACTGAGGGCCGTTGCCTTTCAAATACTTCGATAAGAAGATGAGATTGTGGCTTTAAGTGACGAATGTAATATTTTGTTTCAGAGACAGAGAAAGATGTCTGGGCAAAATTTGTCTGAAGGACGCCGTTTGGGTTAGTGTTGATGGCAAACTTTATAAAAAACACTATGTTAAATGTTATGTTAAATTGATGCTCGAGTTGTGTCGTGCATCAAGAGGGAGATGGTATAACAATTGCCAAATATGGTTTATTAAGGGGTTCACAGTTGCTGAATAAATGTTGGGAGAACACTAGGGGTAATTTGATAAAAGCCCTGAAAGAAGCCATTTTTCTGAAGCCAATCATTTTTGCCAGGGCATCGAAGGCCACGGGAGAACAGTAGACAAAAGAAACTGCGTACTTTACTATCTGACAATAACCTCGAAATTTGTTTCTCTTTACAGAGAGCATGCAGGATTGGAAGACAGGGCAAAATGTGCCCAATAAAATTATGGTTATGGATGAATTTGGCTAACTGTCCTGGCCTGGGTTATTAGTGTGGCAGAAAGGTGCTACACCTGCGCAGCGCATAACTTAAAATTTTCCTTTTACAGAATGTCAGGATGGATTGGATCAAACAGAACTAATTCTGTTCCAAATGTATAAATATTGTGTGGACATGAGCAAAGTGGGTTGAGTGTTTTTCAGGGTAAAAGGACCCCGAGTGCTATTAAGTGAGCAAGAAATTATCCGGAGATAATGTTTCAGGTTGTTGATTCCACAGGTCACACCAAAGGGGACGAGCGGCTGTCAAGCGGTCACTAACAAAATACTTAAGGTCTCCATTCACAGGTGACAGTTCACTCCAGTGGGGGTGCGGTCGTGATATAAGGGAAAACCTTATAAGGATCAGAAAATGGTTGGAGAGTGTGACACCTGGGTCCAAGCCTCTCACCTACACCGACAGGCCACAACCATCCCATAGTCCATGGGGCGAACGAGATGATCAACACGCCTGGAGGAGGATGTGAACCAACTAATGGTTTAAGAATGTGATTTTGTGATTATTTTGAGGATTTTATTTGATTAAATCAAAATAGGGCTTAGTATTGATATACAGTAGATCAAAAGATTTGATTGGTTACTTATTCATTAGGAAATATTTAAGGAAAATGTTTTTGGGAGGAGAAGATCTATTAATTAATGTAAATTGTAGGGATAATTGTTGAAGCTTATTAAGTAGAACCACAGCATGTTTTGGATTAAAAGTTAAAGATAAAAGAACACGGAACGTCCGTGGGGCGAACGAGATGATCAACACAACTGATGGTTTAAGTTTAACAGAAGAATCTGTTTTTGTGATGATTTTGTTTGATTGAATCAAACTAGGTATTGATTTGATTGTAAATGTAGAAAATATATTGATTGTGTCTGTAATGGAAATATTAGAGTTAATATTGAACAACTGCATTGGTTAGAAGAATGGATAAAATTATAAGACTTCTCTGGTTAGATTTTTGTTAAATATGGCATTAAATAGAGCTTACTAAATTGAATTAGAAGTGAACAAAATATGGTTAAATAGGTGAAATATGGAGATGGGCGTAGAATAATGGAAAAGGCTTAATGATAGGAGTTAGGATTGTTATTCTAATAATTTTGTTATTCATGGGTGAATATGATTACAGTGACAGGTGAAACATGCTGTCTGTTCAATTGGTGAAAATGACAGTCTATCCCAAGGATGAACAAAATTATGTGACGATACAGGTAGCGGGAGCTACAGTGAGAGATGTGTTAAATGTATGTTCTGTTTGTTTTTCTTCTATTTGTTTATTTTCTGAGAAAGATTAAGGGCAAAAGATTTAAAGAGGGTTAAAAGCAGCGGTCATCCGTGTTACGAGATGGCGTACAAAGATAGGGTTTGAAACTGAGTGATTTTTATTATACTTTTATCTGTTTGTTTCCTTACTATGTTATAACTACCTTTTTCCTTACTGGCGTGACTGAGGGTCTGTTTACAGGAGCGCAGGAACAGTGATTTCTCGCTAAAAATGTTTACTTGCTAGCTAAAATATTACGGGGCCTTTCCCCAACAAAAACAGCCTTATGCTTCTTCATTCTAAACTTTTCTTCACAGGTTCAAGGAGTGATCATTTATGCAAAAATCAGAGATAAAGAGTATAAGTGTGATGATATGACTTAAAATTTGTTTTATTGTTTATTATTGTGATTATGGGTAATCAGAATGATAAAAAGTGAGGAGTTGTAGTGGCAATTTTAATGATATTCATTGATCTTTAGTAAAATATAGATGATTCAAAGAATGTCACATGTGTGTCTCACTTGTAGTGAGAGAAGATTCTGTTTATGTACCTGGGGAGGCAGAAGAGGGAGACACACCAGAGAACAGACGAACAAGGACCTCTGACCTAGATGTCAGAAGGCCATTTTGGTGCAGGGGGGCTTATTGGGCCAACTAGTGACGTCTATGGAAAACTACTGGGAGGAAGGCACTGGGGGGAAGAAGGCCTTGAAACTAAGATAAAAGCTAGTTCAGTCTGTCTGGGGGTGTGTCACTCTTCTGCACAGGGTAACAACTGTGTATTAGACTGCTCCTATTCTTGCAAGAATAAATACTTCTATTTTATATAATTTGACTCTGAGTGTCTCTTACGCAGTGATGTTTGTTTGAGATGATTTTTTGCCACAACAAGCATTACAATAGTCCAGTCTGGACAGAACAAGCGCTTGGACAAGGAGTTGTGTAGCATGCTCTGATAGAAGAGCCTGATCCTCCTAATGTTGGATAAGGCAAATCTGCAGGATCAGCAGGTCTAGCAATGAACTTTATAATGAATCCATTTTTCACCAAATATATTTGAAAAAGTATTTACCATCTTACTTTTTTACTTAATTCTTAAAGTGTTTAATTATTGAACAACATTATGTGCCCTGAAATGATCAACTTAAATTTGAGACTATTTTTTCTAATCTCAGCAAAACAATGGACTCTATTCAATTTATCAATTATAAACTCCAAATCATTTTCATCTATTTTCTATGCTGTGTAAAGTCGTTAATATTTCAATGATTTGTATTAAAATACTACATTACATAGCCTACAGTTATATTCAGAGGAGAGCATTTCTATTATTTTGATTATATCAGACAATGGAAAAAACTGCTAAAACCAAACAATTAATGGAGAAAAATGTACTTTCAGATTGTAAGTGACAAAAGGAGAAAGAAGCTTTTTGATTCAACAGTCGTGGACAGATTCTTTATCTCTTATTTTGTTCAACTTGATTTTTTTTTTTTCAGTTTTTTTTTTTTATAGTTCTTGGTTTTAAATAGTCAAATTTCTAAACTTTTTAAGGACTGAATCTGTCTTTACTGATTGTAATATAGTATTTTACATATAGATGTGTGCATTGAATTGTGTTGTGAATTCAAATCTTTCACTTGCTGTATTAAAAATGAACATAGTAAATTAGCAATGTATTTCCAAATTAAACCCCTATCCAAAAAAATACATATTTTAAATGTTCTCATCAACGCCTTCCTAAAGAATGCTTAATGATGAAAAAATAAATAACATCATGAATATCAATGCCTGGGTCTCTGAGGGTTAAATCAACAATCAAAAGCATGTAAGTTCAGTTACCTCAGCTGTGAGATGTAGGACAGACACTGAAGGAAACTCTTCATTTCACTCTCTTCCTCTGAACATCCGCTCAGCTTTACTGGTTTCTTCTCTGTCTGGAGTTTCAGCACTTCCAGGAGGACGGAGGTCTTTCTCTGTGAGAGATCTATGATCCAGACATCAGGAGACTGGAAAACTGACTGTAATGCTGGAAGGAAACTCCTGCCTGTTTGAGTCTCATAGTTCTTCACATGTGAGCAAAGATCCAGCAGGAAATCACACAGTTCTGGGTTGTTATTGTGTCTCACGGCAAAAAAGGAGCATCTGCACTGCGATCCTTTATGGAAGAATTCTCGAAAGAATGTTATTTGCTTCAGTGGTTCTTTCCAAACCTTTAATCTGCAACACAGAAATCATACATCAATAATAATAACAATAATTTTAAATTATAAAAAATAAGCAAATTAATAAAGACTATGGCATACTATGGCAATAATTATTTTGAACTGTAAAATAAAGGCATTTAATAATAATACAATTTAAATGTAAAGAACACCAGTACAATTATCATACTTATATTTATGTCTTAATTTCTTTTGGTGAAGACCTTAGAGTATGGTTAGGATTGTTGCATTATTCCAAATAATAGATTGAGATTCACAAACAAATGTAAAGAGATTCACAAAAAAATGTATCAAATTCACAAATAATAGATTGGGATTCACAAATAAATGTAAAGAGCTTAACAAATATGTATAAAACTCAAATAAATAAAATGAGATTTGCAAATAAAAAAAAATATTTACAAATGTGTTTTATGTCACAAACACACCTCATTTATTTATCGGCAATGGCTCACATTGATGACTGGCTCACTAAGTCATGTCTCCATCTAAACACCAACAAATCAGTCTGTATGGCGTTCACCAAACAAAGCATGAAGGTTTCACATTCTAATAATATCATCATCATTTCCCTATTTTCATTTGATGTGTTATGCATTCTAATAATTGTAAAAACAAATTTTCTAAGAATGCCAAGGAAAGAAAGAATAAAAACAAAACAAAAATCAAGGAACTCTCTGTATGATACATGTAGACGTACCACCTTTGGCCAAAATATATTATCAATAACAGCTGGTAAACTTTGGAATAACTTGCCCCTTTCGATACGAGTGTCCTACTTTCAACACCTTCAAAACTCACTTAAAAAAGTGGCTCTTAGAGAACCAGAGATGTACTAATTTTTAACTGTCACACATTTATCAGCCATACACTTTCATTGTTGAATTAAATGTAGTATAATGGTGAATGTATAATGTCTTTGTTATTATGTGTTTTTTGTTTGTATTTATGCATTGTTTGTAATATCAATGTATATTCTTATCCATGTGTATTGTCGTTATAGTGAATGAATGCTGTATGACTGTTGGTTATCTATAGTTAGTTCTTTTTTATGTTACCGGCCTAGGGTGCAGATGAAAAGTAGTATCTTTTTACTAATTCTGGCATATTTACATGGTGTATTATCATACAACAATGTTCATGAATATGCATGGTCCCTATCAAATAAACTAATAAATAAATAAAAATAAATCAATTTGTGAACCGCTTTCTGTGCATTTGTAAATTGCTGCACACATTTGTGAATCTCTTCTTGTGCATTTGTAAATCGCTGCACACATCTGTGGATTTTGAAACACTTCTAGCGTCGACATGCAGACAAATCCACAATTAAGTGGACTCCACCCACCGTTTCCTCAAGCCAATCAGATAACGGCCACTTTGACCACAGCTGAGGCCCATAAAATTGCTACAGTAAAAGATGTTTAAAATTGGGATTTCGTTAGAGATAGACCATTAGACGGGGTATCAAGCCAAGACACATTTTTATGAGCTTTTGAAAATGCCAGAGAAACAGCGCTTACATCTCTGTTATGGGAGCGTTATGGAAGCGTCCCGTTATTCATGATAGAGCACGCTGTTGCTGTGCCTCGTACGGTTACATCATCACTGATGGTCATTTGGGCTCATATTTGGCATTCAACATAATATTTATGTCCTATAGCTATTTATCACCACAGTTGTGCTTTAAAAGATAAAATCATCCATTTTGCCATTTCTCAGCCTAAATCGTGTCGACCCCGTGCGAGGCTGTCTACACTGGACAGAGCGAATGTGCAAATCATTCGCCTACTTCAGAAGCAGAATAGGCATCCGTTTACTGTCAGTGAATCATCGTCCAGTGTAGACAGTTTCACAAATTGTACATTTTCATAGGCAGCACTAATCAATAAGGAAGATTATGCAGACACTTTATATCTGCAGGTAAGAAAACCGACGTCATGGGCAAAATGTGCTAACATTGCAAACATGTTAGTTTTACATTATTTGAAACCGCTACGGCAGCCGAGAGGATAATGGGCTAATCTTTGCTTTTGACGCGCTGTCACGCCGCTTGACTCCGGTGAAGAGAGGGATCTGTGATGATCATAATTTGTGTTTAATACTGAGTTTATCCTGATGGAAATATAAAGAGGCCTTAAACTCCAACAATCTTTTCGAAACGGGGGGTTTTAACCACACAAACAGTTCAATTTGAATGAAGCGCCCATTACAGCTCCTTTCAGGGGTGCAAATATCTGCAAAATGAAGCAGATTCGCTTGATCATTTCCCGCTTCGAGTGTAAAGACTAACGTGATTGGTTGCAGTGAGAACGTGCTACGATTGGTCATCTTAATGTGGCCGTTATCTGATTGGCTTAAATGGTTATTTGTGGATTTGTCTGCACGTCGACGATAGAAGTGTTTCACAAAGGGGATTTACAAATGCACAAGAAGAGATTCACAAATGTGTGCAGTGATTTACAAATGCACAGAAAGCGGTTATTTGTGGATCTTAATCTATTTATTTGTGAATTTGATACATTTTTGTGAATGTCTTTACATTTGTTTGTCAATCTCAATCTATTTATTTGGAATAATGCAACAATCCTAACCCCATAATAAAGCTTCTCTTTAGTTCATCTCATTGCAGAAGGTTGAAACCTTTTTAAACGCATGATACAAGCGGCCCAAACTTACAGCACTAGCAGAGAAGAGTTTGTGTGAAGCGTGCGATCTTGACTGACAATAGACTCTTGGCAAGTGTTAAAGTCGGCATGAAATGATTGTGACCCTTTTTTTCTTGGGAATTGCTTGTTGGATTGTTGTTATTTGCTACTGCTTTGATGTTATGTGAGTGACAGGAGGTTGCGGGAGTTTATTTTCCTCACACCAGTAAACACGTCATCAGAGAAGAGATGAGATGTCAGTGTGTGGAGGAGGGGAAGTTATTCTGAATAAAGATTACAGGGGCACATGATTTAAAAAAAAGTAATGTGCACAAATAAATATTTCATAATAAACACTGCATTGTTCCATTTTAATTTCATGGTGACTTTAACTTTGGACACTGGCTGAGATGCTAAGCGTGTTCTGCACACAATCGCTGATGGCATCGTCCGCTAGCAGTCCTGCCGTTTTTCTTGCATTTGCGCTGTAGATAGTTTGATAGATTGTGTCGATAGTTTAAAAGGCTAACATAGAGGACCACCTTTATTCGCAATTGTTTTTGTGCTAAACTTAAAATCCTTAAAAGATACAATAGTGTGAATCTTATTTCAGCAAATGACCTCTCATTGTTACATCGATCCCCAGCCAGTTGTGGGGTAGATTGTAACAACTGAACTCTTTGTATTTGACATAAACTCGCATAATCTGTGATTGTTTTGTACTGTATATGTCCAAGTGAGTTATATTTGTAGCAGACAAATGTGGCCACCATTTATCAAATTTTGAGAGATATAGCATAAACAGCCAACGAATTACCGATGCTCAAACAAAAGGTGTTCATTTATCCCAGATCTCGCCTACAAAATATTTAGTCCTACATAGTAAACTCCCCAGATGCAGATATTTTCACAGGCATGCAAAAATATAATAAAGTAATAAGTAAATAACGGCCTTTAATAAGTAAATAAATACAAACGAGGTGGGCAGCGGGCGAAATAAAGAGCTGGGCCAGATCTGGCTTATATTTAGCACAGTTATTAACAATAAAAACTATGGCACTTCGTGTGAAAAAAGGTGTTCCTCTGTGTTAGCCTTTTAAACTATATAGCCTACTGAATGGACGTTGAGAAGTATATAGTTTAAAAGGCTAACACAGCACAAAATGCAAGAAAAAAGGAAAAATATTCAATATAGCCTACCTGATCTTGGGTGAGCAGCTGAGCATCATGTTCATTCCTGCATCAGTCATGTTACAGTCCTCCAGATTCAGATAAACCTCTTTATCTCTGGACTGAGTGATCACGTAAGCCAAAGCACAACACTGATGAGGGTCAAGATCCTCTTCAGGCTCGAGCTGATGGTCCATCTTCTCCAGGAACATTAAGCACGCTTTAGGAGACTGGAGCTCATACAAGCACTGACACACATAGAGAAGATCAAACTCTTCACTTTCACTCTGAGGTTGGAGGAAAGTTTCCAAAAACTTCTCAATGAACCAGTCAGATGTTTTCTTTATCTGATCTTCTGGGAAGAGACACTTGATGAGTTTAATGTTGTGTTCTCCCAGAAGTCCACATAGGAAGGGAAGAACATGTTTCATGTGTTTATTCTCCTCAGTCTGACAGAGTTGTAGGACTTTCTCAATTTCACCTGGATGTCCAAGAAGCCACAAAGCTGAGAAGAATTCCTGCATTGTGTTGTGGAGAAACGCACAGTACGTTGTTGCTGATGTAAGCGAGTCTCTTGTTGTGATCATCTTCAGAAAAGCACGAGAAATGTTGGTCTCATCACAGCTAAGGTTCAGGGTTTTCTGCATAGTTGCATTAAATGCCTTTCCCATCAAAAAATAAACTTGATCTTTGTTGTCTTTCAAGTATTTATCTATTTGCTCAATTTTTTTATTCACAGCAACACGGAAAATATGGATGTACATTTCTGTGACTGTGTTTGGATGGTTAAAAACGTTGTGGTTTTTAAATTGAATCAAGTCTACAATCATGAATGCATACATTGGCACATGGCTGAGACTGAACAGCTCTTGATTCTTCAAAACAACATCTAGAAGATCAGGATCGTGACCCAACATCTTCTGATAGTAAGCGTTGATAGACTCTTCACTGAATCCTTCGACATACACTTTCAGTGTCGGCCATTTGGAGAAAAGTGGATCATATTCCACCTCTGATCTGCATGTAATTATAATCTTGGCATCAGGCAGGAGCTCGTGGTTCATGATCTTCCATAAGGTAGAATTTTCTTTTAAATCGACTACGCCATCAAATATAATGACAACATTCTCAGAGTTTTCCTCAATTTCTTGAAACACGTCTGTTCTGTCTTTATCCATTGGTTTCAAATACACTTTAAACAAAATAGATTCCAAATCGTCATTGCTAGAACTGTGAGCCAAAACACCTTCATCAAAGTAAAACATGTAGTCCAGCTCTTGGTCCTCTTTCTCTGCCCACAGACGCAACATTTCCTGGACGACTGTAGTCTTTCCTATTCCAGGTTTGCCTATGAGGAGGATGCTCTTATCTTGGCATCTCAGCAGATCCACAGGTGAAAGTGCTTGTTGCTCAGTAGGAATGTAAGCTCTCAGCTTTTTGGGCCGCAGCTTTTTGCATTTTTTGTTTTTCCATTTTATTTTACATTGAGGAGTTTTCAACACAGAGTCTGTCTCTAAAACAACAGGTATAAAATGGAAATTTCCTTGTGCCTTGTCATCCCGATATTTACAGCAACCTTCCCTTTGCTCCTTCAGGATCCTTTTTGCTTTCTTCTTGAGCGCTGACTGGTAGTTTTGACAGGGCTTTGTACCTAAAACAGCAACACAAATAAAGATTTGTATTGAAATGTGTTGATTTACTGTCTTTTTATTGAAATGTTTTTCATTTATCTACTCACCAAATGAATAGCTGACCCCTTCCTCTTCCCATCTGAAGGGAAAACAGCTGATCCAGGTGTGTAAATCAGGATGCAATGTCCTCTTCTTAGTGACATCCAAAATCTTGAGTAATTCATAACTGGCCTCTTCCCCTTTGTTAATGACCCAATCCAATATACATCTGGCTTTATCAAACTCTGTCCTCTCGGCTTTGAGATCATCGACCTCATGGTCATTGAAAACCTTCCGCTGATAAAGATTCTCAATGATCAGAGGAAGGTTCTTCATATCAGTCACCAGGTTTCTCCTGGCGTTTTTGAGGAACTCAATAGCAGATTGCCGTGCACACGCCATAATGCAGGCCTTTCAAACCTGAGGTACAAGACAGATGTTTAAGCATTTTCATGCAACAGTATTACATGACTTAATCATATTTATTAGCTGAAAACTGGAGAGATTGGATGCAGCAATTTGAACTGTATCTTATCACGAGCGGGACCTTGTGAAAAAAAAGAAGTCAGAAAAAAAAGTGTGCCACTTTTGTAAACATTGCAGGAGATGATGAAATGAATTGAGGTATTCAACACGTTTACCGTTTGATGATTTTGACAACTTCAAGACATTAAAAGAGCTGTTTGCCAAATACTGTAAACCACGGAAAAACCTGACATACCTGAGACATTTGTTCTTTATTTAAAAAAATAAAGTGAAGGATTGTCAATTTAGAGAACTTACCAAGTCACTTATAAAGGACCGAATTGTTTCTGGTATTACAAATGACCAGATCAGAGGCAGGAAAAAAATATTCTATGGAAGTCAATGGGGTCCATCAACTGTCTGGTTACCGTCATTCTGCAAAATATCTTCTTTTGTGTTCAGCAGAAGAAGAAGAAAAATCATACAGGTTTGAAACAACTTGAGGGTGGGTAAACCATTGAGAAGGAGGAGACTAAACTGCATCAAATTAATGAGAAGGATGAAGTGAAAAATAGAGAGCTGCAAGCTGGAGTGGAACGGTGGACTGAAACACTCAAGTTAACCAGAAGCTGATCGTAAAGTTAGACACAGGTGCAGATTGTAATTTCATATCAGTGCTAGAACTGGATGTGTTAAAGATGACAGAAATGACATGCAAAAATCAAGATTTAAACTAGTGCCGTATTCAGGTCACATGATCAGGCCCTTGGGTCAGCAATGCCTTGAATGCCAGTACAAAGAAGGGCTGCGTCTGAAATCGCATACTCTAGAGTAGGTACTTATTCTGAATAAGTAATTACTTCACAACCGTTAATAAAATACTTGAACAGAAAGGTCTTACATTGTTCAAACATAAGACAGTCGCATCTTCAGAAGGAATAGAAAAGACTTGCTGAAAACAAAGGAGACAGTGTGTCCTTCAACTCAAACTGAAGCTGTGGAAGATAACCTGTTGTTTCACCAAATTTAGAGCAGAATTCAGAGCAGGAACACAACATGGACAATAATGCCAGTGCAAGTTGTTCATCCTCTGTGAATGCCACAAATTCACCAGGCGCTATTGCATCACCATCTTCATTATAGGCAGACACGAGTAACAGCCAGTTCAGTTCAATCACATGATCTCCTGTCATCAATACATTACAGTGGCATTTATTAATATTAAATTATATTTAATTATTAAATGATAATGCAACTGTTGTCAATTTAATATTTAACTCAACGTTGTCATATAAAAAGTCATACTTCTCTGAAGATTAAGCTCCATATGACCCACGAGTAACACACGATCGCCTCGAGATCAGCCTCCGACTCACAAACACGTGTAAAAACGAAACCAAAACCAAATCACAATTTGTCTCAAGCCGTTCATACCTTTAGTCAAACTTTGTGAGGGCTAGATTAATTCGTGTTTCAAATAGTTTCATTTTCATAATTTATCAGTTTCACAGTAGGCCTATATTCTCAAAAGGCTCTGATGGGTGAACAGACGAAGACATAATAAGGTTTAGCCATTCATGCGACGCGATTATAGAGGAATAATACTTGCCATTCACCTCGACAGCAACTTCCGAGTTCCGACTGTACAGGAAACAGTGGGTGCTTCTCAATACCCCTCCTCTTTTTTTTTCTTCTTTTTCTTTTCTTTTTTATTGAAGTGTAAAATTTACAATAATGTCTGGCTTAGTCAGAATTCACAAGAATATTAGTGCTAACAGGAAACGGAGCACGTAAAATTACAAACAACTTTAGGAAAAGAAGAGTAAATTAAAATAAAATAATAATAATAAACAAATAAAAAAAATAGAAGATAAAGAAACAGTTATGAAACAATAGTTAAGGGGCTTCAATTAATTTTAAGGCATCAATAAAATTAAGAAGTTTTCTCAAAATCAGTTTTGCAAATTCTATCTTGAAGACAGTAAATAGAGGCTGTGTTTTTATACATTTACATTTGTGGATGAAAAATTTACCCGAGATAATTAAAAGTGTTTAAAAGCATTTCATAGTTTTTGTCTTTCATTATAATTCCAAATGTGATGTTATGTCTACTCTAGTGAAACTGGAGAGAGACTGGAGATAAGGCTCCAGCCAATCATACGTCACACCAGAATGTGTTGCTGTAAGGGCAGAAGAAAAACAAATGATCCGTGGTCTCTATGTTCTCATCACAGAATATACAGTTAGTTAGATCTAAGTTAGTCTTGAAGGATATATATCATTAATATTTTTGAAATGGAGGTCTTTAGCTTTTGGCGATAAAGGTAACTTTAAGAAATCTGTGCGTGGTTTCTTCAGAGAAGAATGACTGAAGATAAGAGAAGCAGCATTTCGGCTGTATTGCATTGGGTATAAAGTCAGAGTAAAGAGATCACGGAACAATTTTTTCTGCAAAATCTTACTACAGAACTGGTGACCAGCAATCATCAATGAAGGGAGAAGAGGGGGGTTGAACAAATTAGGCAGTGCATTTTTTGCCATCAAAAGGAAGGCAGAAGGGATGCTTTGCATTATTATAATGTTTACGATTGCACTGAAAATTACATTTTGCACCAAAATCTTCAAAAGATAAAACATTGCCTAATTGTCAGTAAATGTGTGACAGACCAAATGTTGTTATCCATCCATTCACTGAAATACAGGGACTTATTTCTAAAGAGAATGAATCTGCAATTCCAGATGGGTACATCGTGGGGAGTAAAATTGTGTTTGTACAGTAGTTTCCAATATAACAGAACTTGGGAATAAAATGCAGACAGCTTTACAGAAAGTTTTGGAACCTCAAAATCACAGCGTAAAAGAAAATCAATACCTCCAATTGTTTTAAACAGTTCCCTGGAAACACAATACCAGAAGCTACTACTGTTTGCTAGAAAGCATCTTAACATTTAGTCTTTAAGGTTCCATTTATACAATCAAAGTCTGTGGCTTGTAGCCCACCATCTTCATAGTCTGTCACTATAGTGGGGTTTTCTTTTCCAGATGTAATCAAAGTTTAAAGTATTGATGGTTTTAGCCACTTTTTTGGGGATAGATAAAGAAAAGGCTGGGTAAATGCACCTTGAAAGGCTTTCCATTTTATATAGATGCGAACAAACATAGAAAGATCTCTATTTAACCATCTGTCTAATCTTGATTTACATTCATCCATTTTGCTCCATACATGTAATGTTTCACTCAACTTACTTAGTATCTTTGGTTATATGTATACCTAAGTATTTAACTGCAGTTTTAATAGGGATACCAAATGCTGCCTCAAGGTGGCAGTCATGTATAGATAACAACTCACATTTTTTTCATGTTCAGTTGTAACCCAGATGCTTTTGAGAATGAGTCTATAGTTTCAGCCTTTGGGACCTGCTCAACATTTTTAAGAAATAGAGTGGTGTCATCAGCCAGCTGACTTTTAACTATATGTTTATCAAAGACAGTTAACTGTTCAATATCTGAATTTTTGACGAGGATTGATAACATTTCAGCTGCAATAATGAAAAGTGAGGGTGAGATGGGACAGCCTTGTTTTATACCTCTGTTGATGGTGAAGCGAGGCGTAGTGCCACCTGAGAGAGATATTGAGCTGTTGGTGTCGTTATAAAAACATTTTATAGTGTTTCTAAATTTTTCCCCAAAACCACAGAGTTCCAGAGCCTTAAAGATAAAGGGGTGTTCTAGCGTGTCAAACGCCTTATAAAAATCCAAAAAGAGAATAAAGCCATTGTCCTTTATATGCTCATTATATTCAAGTAAATCAAGGACAAGGCGAACGTTGTTGTGTATTGATCTACCTCTCATAAATCCTGATTGAGTGTCACTTATTATTTGAGGAAGACCCTCTTTAAGACGATTTGAAAATATGTGTGTTAGCAATTTATAATCATTGTTTAATAGTGTTATCGTTCTCCAATTGTCCAAAATTTTGGGATCTTTGTTTGGTTTTGGAATGAGAACAATTACACCTTGCCTCAACGTCTGTGGAAGAGATTGGTTGTTTAAAGCTTCTTTAAGTGTTTCAAATAAAAGTGCTTTGATATGCTCCCAGAAATGTTTATAAAAGTTGGCTGTCAGGCCTTCTTGGCCAGGGGAGCGGTCAGAAGTCAGACATTGCAACGCCTTTTAAAGCTCATTATACGTCATTTCTGCCTCACATGCATTTTGGAAGTCCTCATTTATTTGGGGAATAAAACCTCTGATTATATTAAAGAAGCCTCTGTTGCATCAGCTGAGAAACTAGAAGAAAAAAGTTGCTGTAAAAGGAATAAACTTCATTGGTTATAGTTTTAGGATCAGAGCATTCATTTTCATTAATGACCAGTGTTCCTATGTTATTTCTTTCCTGGCGAGTTTTTTTCTAATCTACAGAAATAAGAAGAGTTTCTTTCTCCTTCCTTGATCCATTTTGCTCTGGATCTGATGAAGGCTCCATTTGCTTTTCTTGTATAAATATTATCCAATTTGGTTTGTAGTGTTTTCTTTTGTCAGCGTGGGTTTATTACAACAGAGACTTATCTCTCTTGTCAAATTGGTCTCCTCTAAAAGGGCAGATTGTTGCAATTGTTTACTGAAAGAGATTAAAAAGTTTCTTATTCTGAATTAAAAAAATTCCCATTTGGAGCTATAAGACAGAAGTTTGGAGTCTTGTGTAATTTCATAAATTATGTCTTTAACCCCTTGGCTATACGTTTCAGATTGTAACAGCTAGGCTGGCTTTGAGTTTCCAATAACCCTTGTTTCGTTTGTGATTATTACTGGGTTTCAGTGTGAGATTAATATAGCACTGGTCAGATAGGGGAGCAGAAGATATAGAGCAGTCAGATGCTAAGTCTTTTACACTGTCAGAGATTAACCAAAAGTCAATCCTTGATTTTATTGAACCATCCGGCTTAAACCAAGAGAAG